CCGCAGAAAGACATTTGCCATAAGATTGGTGCAAGGTCCTTTAGACTAGATGATGACTTAGGCTCAGTTTCATAACTCACGGTTAACTCTTAACCGAGGTTCAACTTATTTCTCATCCTTTTCCAATTCTAGCATTAGAAAGAGATAGAGAGGAATAATTAAACCTCGGTTAAGAGTTAACTATAAATGAAAATGAGTCTTAATCATTAGAGATCCGCTAATCGTCGAGATACACTTTATTTTCAGAATGTGCAATATGTGATTCTTGGATATGTTCTTTTTGACATTCGCAACACTTGCGAATATCATTGGTTGTGTTAAGCAGAGAAAACTGAGTAAACGTGTTAGTGATTCTTTAATATGATTGGTTACTTGCCTTAGAGAGTTCTTCGTTGGATCTAACAATAAGTGTAGGAACCAATTGTATTAAAGAATCACGCAGCGTTCGATATTATTAATGTATTCTTCTAGATCTAAAAGTTTGATTAGATGATATATAAGATGACCTAGAACACTATCAATAACAGCGAACATTCTCTCAACTGTTAAGCAGCCATTGATTGGTTAAATTGAACAGAGAAAGCATTTTACTATTGTTGTAAAATTCTTTAATATAATTGGTTTATATATTTAGATTCAATGAGGATTTAAGGGCAAAATCAATCATACTGAAGAATTTTACGACAATTGCTGCTCTCTCTGAATACAGCCTTGTTGTTTATCAAATGTTAAACGAGAGCAAAGAATGATTTTGCTGCACAGAAAAAAATGTTTAGTTGAATTAACTAGAATTCTGATGGAAAATGAACGACAGAATTTTAATTAAATCTACAAGATTTCTGGTTAAATCTAAAATTCTAGTTGAAATAATCAACATTCAGTAGATTTGACCAGAAATCTAATAAACTTAATTCTGGATCATTTGCATTTTCGTTCATTTTGCACCAAAATTCCAGTTAATTCAAACAAACATTTTTTTCCGTGTGAGGTATTTAAAAATTTAGGTAGATACAGATCTAAAAACTTTAAGTTGAACCATCAAAATAATTATATAGGAAACTCGAACATGATGAGTAATGCTGCAAAAAGTTTTGACATTCTAGCAATCAGTTCGAGCGATCAGTTCCTATACAATTATTTTGGAAGTTTAACAAAATTATTTTCAAATCTGTAGCACAATTTTTAAATACTTTAGCAAAACCGTTCTTTCTGTGGATGCTCGTGAATATTGCAAATGTCAAGTGGAACTTATTCCTTGTGACACTTTTCTGGGGATTGATTGTATATCTTGAAATGAAGTGAAAATGACAAAAGTGAGCAAATTTACTAAAATATTTATAATTTTATTGGTAAAACAGTTAGTAACAGTTTCTCACTTTTGTAATTTTCACCTCGTTTCAAAATACACAATCGATCACCTGGTCCCGCTATTATTAGACGTGTCGTTCTTATTGAAACCTTTATCAGGATCCAGCGAACTATGAGTTTTCGTACGAGGTCCAGGACGCGGCGGCAGGTCTAGACTTCGGACATCGCGAGATGAGGAAGGACATGGAGGCCACGGGAACCTATCATGTGCTGCTGCCGGATGGTAGGACCCAGATTGTCGATTATATCGCCGATCAGAACGGATATCGGCCGATGATACGATACGAAGGAACCGCCACTTATCCCGCTCCAGGACCGGCGCAAGAGGGCTACAAATATTAGAATCCTGACTTTTTTTTGCAATTAAGTACCAATCTTTTTTAGCGCATTAAAAGGATCGATTAAATATTATATATTCTTGAACAGAGACCGGTGTTTTTTCTATAAATGTTTTCTATAAAGAACCAAAGAATATCTTGGGCTTTGCGAGTCAAGAGGCGAAATCAAAGATTATGTAGATATTTGTACTAAGGAAGAAAGCAAATATCCATGACTTTTTTATTGACGAGATTCAATATATAATGATAATAATAACTTCAGAGCCGACCTCTGCTCTTAAGTCTGATTCCATCAATTGTAAGTTTAACTTATTTAATCTCAATTCAATTCACTCTTTATCTTTTTCTAATTCTAAGAATTAGAGTAGATAAAGAGTAAGTTAAACCGAGATTAAAGTTAATCTTACATTGATGGAATCGGGTCTAAAGATATACGACGAACATGATCGAGATCCATTCGTGGACATGTCGAATATTAGTAGTATTAGAACAAATACTGTTGTACACACTCGAGTAATGTAAGAGGATGACATTTTGTTCAGGAAGATCAAAATAATATAAGCGAAACGTTCGCCGTGACTGTGACAACGATCTTATCTGTAATGTGTAATAAATAATTTGATGAAGAAAATATAATAAAACTTTTCTTCCCTTGTTCTCTTTGATGTCTGATATCCTGCAAACGTTTCGCAAGCAGCCGCAATGCAACCGATTTCTCAATAGATTTCACAGCATTATTATATATAAAAAATCAATTTAAATTCCAATCTGGATTGAAACTCTGGATGAAGTTCGGAATTGAGAATGTCCCACATAAAATAAAGTAAAATTTTTTTTTAGTTTTCTTGCTCCAAAAATAAATCAAATATAGTTCATTTATAAATTTATATGTATATTTAATTTATTTTTGGAGAGAACTACAATATTATTTTGATTTAAATTCGTTCTACGTTTTTCTTGTTGTTAGAATATTACATACGAGATTCAATCGTGGAGACTCATACAGGCAATTTACACACAAAAAAACATACATATTGTATACGCAAATAACAATTATCTGTTTCAAATATTTCAAAAGTTTATATAAAATACAAATTTATCAAACATCAAATTTATTCAAAATATATTCTGAAAATTGTATACATTTCAATTAAGATTATTAAATTAAAACATAACTTATTATATAAAGCCATTTCTTTAACCAATTTTATAATATTCCTCAAAAGAAGATAGTCTTGTTTTAAATATCAATGTTTTTCTAAAATTTGTAATAAGTATATTTTATAAGATTATTTATCAAGAAAATATTCTTTATTAAAGATAATCATTACTTAAAAGAAAAAATTATCATTATTAAATTACTATATATTATATTATTATACTATTCTCTACTTCGTGTTCATGATTACATTTCAGATTGAAAAAGATTTCGGCGCGCGATTTGCAGAATTAACTATGTATACAAAATCACTCTAAAATATTTAAACATCTAAGATCCGCTTTGACTAAAAATAAGTTTGTATTTTAATTTAAAAAGAAAAAAAAAGAAAAGGAAAACTAATTAGTTCTTAAAAACAGAACATCGTCCTTAGGCATTGAAATAATGATACTCGTAATATAAAGGAGAATGAAGAATCTAGCTAATAAATTAGCTCATTGTTAATTATAAATTATCTAATAGTAGTAGCTCGCGAACAGTAGTTCCAATAATTAAGACCGGCAAATTGATAAAAGAAATCTATTATTTTTGCATTAAATTGAAGGCTTTATTTAGCATAGTTAGAATGATCCGATTTAGGTCAAATATGCACCATTTTGTTCGATAACTTGTTGCCATTTTGAAGGTAATTTTATTATGCCTCTCTCATAGAAACCCTCGCCCTTATTGGCAAAAAACTGGGACAGTCGATTTTCACAAGCTTTTCTTGACGCGAATTTTTCACCAGCAAAATCATTCGCAATACACAGGAACAGGTGGTAATCACTTGATGCCAGGTCCGGACTATAAGGTGGATGCATAAGAACCTCCCAACCAAGCTCCCGGAGCTTCTGGCGAGTCACTATCGATGTGTGTGGCCTGGCGTTGTCTTGATGGAACACAATTCCTCTCCTATTGGCCAAAGCTGGCCGCTTCTGGGCGATTGCTTCTTTCAGACGGTCCAATTGTTGACAGTACAGGTCCGAATTAAGAGTTTGGCCGTAGGGGAGCAGCTCATAGTAGATGATTCCCTGCCAATCCCACCAAACACACAGCAAAACCTTCCTGATCGTCAATCCTGGCTTGGCCACCGTTTGCGCCGGCTCATCGCGATTCGACCACGACCGTTTTCGCTTGACGTTGTCGTAAGTGACCCACTTTTCATCACCAGTAACCATTCGCTTCAGAAATGGGTCGTTTTTGTTGCGATTCAGCAGCGATTCGCAGATGGAAATTCGGTCCATGAGATTTTTTTGCGTTAACTCGTGTGGCACCCATACATCGAGCTTCTTTTTGTATCCAGCCTTATTTAAATGGTTCCAAACGGTTTTTTGTGCAATGTTTAGCTCCTGGCCAATCGAAACAGTGCTTACATGACGGTCGGACTCGACGATTTCCATTATTTTATCGACATTTTCGACAATTGGCCTTCCAGAGCGTGGTGCATCTTTGACATCAAAATTACCGGAACGGAATCGACGAAACCAAAATTGCGCGATATTGACTGTTACAGTATCAGGACCATAAACTATTCACATTTTTAGCCGCCTGGCTTGCGTTTTCGCCTTTATCGAAGAAAAAATGTAAAATATGGCGTATTTTCTCTTTGTTGTCCATCTTTGACACGCGCTCAAACAATACTGACTCAAGCAATCACAAAACTGTCTGAGAAGTTTTTTTAGTACGAAATCTTATCTTTCTAACGCCATTTGGCGTAACCCGATCGCACTTATACAAAATTTCTTTTTACTACACCTTATATATTGCCGCGGACAAAATTCCACCATTTGCTACACCGTGATCGAAAATCGCGCGTGAGTGCGCCACCTCGATGTTAATCCCAGTCGAAGTTTCCAGAATGCTCGAGCATGCTCCGCGACTTGCACGCCAATTCGGGCAGCGTCAGATAATCAGGTTCGATTCACGGCAGTTTAGACTGACGATTCGCGAGCGAATCAGTATTATTAATCGGCATTGCTGACTCTGACAGCGGGTTCTGTCATCGTCCTACGATAAACCGCCGTGCGAAGCAACATCTCGTAAGCGCAAACGGAACACTTGTATTTTACGAGCGAGCCGTCACGAAAAACGCGGCCCGACATTAAACTCGGAACGCTTACTAACCGCAGTTCATAGGACGACTCGTAAGTAACACGTGTAATGCCGAAAAAGTCACAATGGATCTTATTCTTTAATGGACGTTCATCGACACTGATGGTCGTCTCATTACCATTTAAAACATAGGTTATGTTATGCAGGCGAGTTCCAGTTGCTGTTCTGGGAAACTGAGTTTGCTAGAAGGTTAGCTCGGCGGTCTCGATTTACCTCCAACAGCTCTGCGAATTGGAAATTGAGCTCCAGCTTCAGTGTGCTCGGAACATTATTGTTATATCCCCGACAATCACTTGGAAGCATGGCAAAATGGGGC